ATATGCATGTTATGGTGAAGACAGTTCTTCATTTGGGCTTATAATGACTCCTAAAAATTTTATTTGACTAGATTATTACAATACTATATATTTAGCTCTTAAACTAATCACAAAAATAAAGTTAATTTTAACATTGATCTATGTATGATAGCAAAAAAAAAAAAAGAGAAAATATAGTGCATAAATAAAAACATCATGCAAACCAACCTATAGTGGTTTAATCACTATGAGGTCTACGTTGACTCCCCCATATTCTCTTAATAGATAGCCTCCCAAGAAATACACCTTAATGTATAATGGAGCAACCTAATGCTTCTATAAAACTACATGATCTCTATTCATGGCACTTATGCAAGAACCTTTAGACTCTAAAGCTGACCTTTATTCTCTTACAAATATCTAGTAAGAACATCCATAACAAAAAAAATAAAATTAAAAGCATACACCAAGATACATTCTCATACAAATGTCAAGTGAGAACATCCATAACAAAGCAAAATATACACTAAGGTTCATTCTCTTAGTTTGTATACATAAAGGTACACTAAAAGGGGTAAAAACAATCATAAAACCCACATAGGCCCCGACGAGCATGTTATTAGTACACACGTGACGTCTAGGGATGCTGCGTGGGTTATTAAATTTAAATTCGATCTCCCAGGCAGATAAAAAGGAGTAGACAGTGTATAATTATAAAATGCCCCAAACACCCTCATGGGCCCAAACGAGTGTGTTATGAGTATACACGTGACGTCTAGGGATGCTGCGTGGGTCGATAAGTGAATTCAAGTTTGAACCCGATCATTCTATACAGATCAATAGGAGTTAACAGGATTCGAACCATTAAATAAATACACGGTCGTAGCAATCGATGTATTTATTTTAATACGTTCATATTAGGCCTTCAAACTCTAAAATCAATAGAATTCACTAACAAAGGCATAAAGCCTACGAAACTCGATTATCTGTTGACAGCTAGATATAGTCGACAAGGTTCAATCTTCAAATGAAAATAACCCATTTCACCTCGATGATGGCCGTGTTGAATGCAGATCTCAACCGGAGGGCTTCACAAATATTTTCAAATCCTATCCCAAATACCCACAAAAAAAAATTCAAAAATCTCAAAATTTTAAAATATTTAAAATTGAAATAAATCCATCAATAACTTAATGCAAAATTCATCCACCCTCCACAACAGTTTGCCTGGGTGAACAAATCAAAATTTATTTTAGCTTACAAAGTGTCAAATGCATAGTCGAAAATATTACTAGGATCCATTCTTAAATAATCTCCTGCCAGTAAAGACGTGGTATGTGTTCTCTAACCGACGGTTTAGCCGCCAAATGGCACCGCAGGACAAACGGTTATGACCCGGGACCCTCTGAACCGAGTGGTTTTGCCGCCAAATGGCACCACGAAATATCGGTTATGGCCGGCCAGTGCCATTATGTTCCTTATTGGCATCAAATTCTAGAGATATGAATCAATAGGATATGATTGATAGGGCACCAAGCTCTCTGTTAGCTAAGGTGGATTTAATTTTGTCCTTTAGGCAAATACCCATCCCAGATCTACAAGGTACCCTTGCCCATAACTGCCGACAAGGATCCTTCTATCAGGTTGGGTCGAATACCTCCTCTGACTAAGTAGACAAGGGACCACGATGGCCCAGGATGACGGAATCATGAGATCTTGATCAGGTCTATCATCCATTCCCCCATCATCCACTTTAAGGGCACGGTGGTGAAATTTCTATTTTAAATACCAAATTTTCCAAACCTTTCCCAATACCCAAATCCAAACCCAATTTTCAATTTCCAAACCCAATGCTGCTATTATATGCCAGATAACACGTATTCTCTACGTATCTGATTAACGACTAGCCTTAATCGAAAGTTCTCTCTCGTGATCGGGAGGGGTAATTAACTATAAGGGCTTGTGCCTATAGGAAACCAGAACTCAGATCATAAAATCCTCACAAAATGAGGGCGAAATCTCTGGGTAGTGTCTTATCTACAAACCCATCTGCCTTCCATGCAAAATTTACCCCGGAACTTAATTTCGTTAAAACTCCCTCGCCAAAATAAAAAACATAAAGATAAAAGCAAATCAACGCGGCGGGGAGGTTGGGGCCGAATTTTCGGAGCCCACACTAACTGAGGGTAGAAGAAAGAAATGAGAGGAGGCAAGAAGAGGAAATCCATGATGGTGAGGTGCAAGTCGGCGGCGAAAGTCGGCGAGGTTTTCGCATTCGCAGCGGCTCTCGGACATGGCTTAACCAAGGGAAGTAGAAGGAAATGAGAAGAAAGACCGCGGCCGGATAGAAATAGGGCGCTTTCCATCAAAATTTTCGGGTGAGTATCCGTCGGTTACCTTACCGACAGTTAATGCGTCGATAAACAGTCGTCGCAATATTCGTCGGTAATTCTGCCTTTTATGATTCATAAGTTGATCTAATTGATGTGATTAATTTGATCGGTTCACATGACTATGATATGAATTGCAAGCATTTTCACAAATACAATCTACATCATCCTGCTGGGTTATGTATATATATTCATGTCTTAAACAAACATAATGTACTCATTTTTCGTGTTTTAAATAACACAATTGATAAATTATAAGAGGAAGACAAATTCGTGATGACACATGAAATAAATCTGGACATGCAATCTTTGATCTTATGGGACGCTTAAGAAGATCCGACACTTCCTCGTGCACAGGGTGTCTCATGTCCAATTTGAGGCTATCCAAGAGTTCTATTTTTTATGGTAAGCTCCTCTTTATTTCAAATAATGTCATGTGTTAATATGAATAAATTGGGACAAAAAATAGACAAATCAGCAACATCTGATAAAAGAATAATCAATGAACAATAATTGAGCTCTTCAACAAAACTTTCAGGACTTTAATGATTATACGTTAGCGGAATGCAACTTTTGGATTGTAGCAGGCAGGACATTTGACATCCTTTTCTCGAGGAAGTGTGGGATCTTCATAAGCATCTCGCATAAATTGAGGTCGCTCATTGGTATCCTATAGAATAAAGAAATGAGAAAGCGCCATATACGACAATGCAGAGGGAGAGGAATTTCGTTCTACCATTCGGGACAAAATTTCATAGAAACACTCATGGCTTCCAAAGCCACCAACTTCAGGCCCGAATGCATATTACTTTTTTTTTCACTGAGAGAGAGAGGAAGAGAGAAAGACAAACAGAGATAGAGACAGTTAGAGATAGAGATTATGTGCGGTTTGAAAGGCTTATGTAAGCCACAAGATGCTAACAAATGTAACAGTAATATTTATAATTGGATCAAATGATCCGATTAGCTAGAGCTGATCAAATTGTGGTTAAGTGGTTTTATCTCCCTTCCATCGTAGCTTAAAATTTCAGTCGTTTATTTATACTGATTTGTTAATTTTATGTATTATATTCTAATTTAAGAAAATAGTTGGAAAACAAATAATTGGCATTGCTTATATTATTTAGAGAGAGAGAGAGAGAGAGAGAGAGAGAGAGAGACGATGGTTTAATGCTTGAAAAAACAAAGTAACACGCGGACTCATGCTCCACATTTTGTTAAGGTAATTGACCAATAACAATAGTAATTTTATATAATGGACGTCAAATATTTATTCAAACAACCAAAATAGTTGATGAACGTCTCATTGCTCCAAAATAGATTGTTGGTTATGACTAAATAGGCTCTCAATAACAGTTGCAGCAATCACAATAATTGTACCCAAATATGCCTTATATGCAACTGATATATGGCGCATATATATAATTTGTCATGGTATTATTAGTAGCACCATGGCGATTCCAAAAAATTAATAGATGCCATTTTACAAAAGAGAGGGTTTGCATCCCCATTAGGGGTGCAAACAAGTCGAGTCGAGCTCGAGCCAGGGGGTGTTAGAGTCGAGCTTGATTGCTAAGAACCGAGCTTGAGCTTGAGTCGAGCTTGATTGCTAAGAACCGAGCTCGAGCTTGAGTCGAGCTCAAAAGATGAGCTTGAGCTCGACTCGTCTCACGAAATTAGTCGAGTTGAGCGGCTCATCGAGCTCCCCTTCCTAACCTTTGTCTTCGAGCGTCATCCTGAGCTTTGTCGAACATCAAGCTCCGTCGATCGTCGACCCATGAAGCTCCGTCGAAGCCACGAGCTTGTCATCCTAAGGCGCGAGTTCCATGATCATGTCGAGCTCCGTTGAAGCACGCAAGCTCCGAGTCTCCGACCTCCATCGTCCCGAGCTACATCATCGAGCTCCGTCGTCCATCATTCGGTCAAGCCCTGTCGAAGCACGTGAGCTCCAAGCTTCTGACCTCTATCGTCCTGAGCTAAGTCATCTAGCTCTGCTCGGTTGTCCCGAGTTCCGCAGTCGAGCAACACACAAACACCGCCGTCGTCGTCCCTAGTTACTTCGTCGAGCAATGAGACGTTCATCAACCATTTTGGTTCAATGAGACGTTCATCAACCATTTTGGTTGTTTGAATAAAATATTTGACATCCATTATATCAAATTGCTATTGTTATTCGTCCATTACCTTAACAAAATGTGGAGCATGAGTTCGCGGGTGTTACTTTGTTTTTCAAGCATTAAACCATCCTCTCTCTCTCTCTCTCTCTCTCTCTCTCAAAATAACATAAGCAACGTCAATTTGTTTTCCAACTAGTTTCTTAAATAAGAATATAATACAAAAATAGCAAAATTAACAAATCAGTACAACTAAATGGCTGAAATTTGAAGCCACGATGGAAGGGAGATAAAACCTCTCAACCACAATTTGACCAGCTCTAGCTAAATCGGGTCGTTTGATCCCATTATAAATATTACTGTTACAATTGTTAGCATCTTGTGGCTTACATAAGCCTTTCAAACGGCACATAATCTCTATCTCTAATTGTGTCGCTTTTCTTTCTCTCTTCATCTCTCTCTCTGTGAAAAAAAAAATAATAGGCATTCGGGCTTGAAGTTGATGGCTTTGGAAGCCATGAGTGTTTCTATGAAATTTTGTCCCGAATGGTAGAATGCATTACCTCTCCTCCCTCTGCATTGTCCTATATGGCGCTTTCTCATTTCATTGTTCTGCATGTTTTAATTACGCTTAACAGAAATTATATAAACTTCTATGAATCTTTATCTGTCTAATTAAATGCAGCAACAATCTACTCTACCCAAAAGAAGATAAGAAGCGCAAGATCCTACTCAGTGCCTGTCGCACCTGTAGTTACACGGTTCCGTATCACAGAAAATTCTGACTTGTGATCAGAAATATATATATCTATATATTTGTATTGAATAAATGAATTGATAAATAAATTACAGGAGGTGGCGGAAAGTAACTGCGTGTACAGAAATGTGATAAATCATGATTCAGATTATGAGCGACCTAAAGATATGCGAGATGCTTATGCAGATCCCACACTTCCTCGAGAAAAGGGCGTCAAATGTCCTGCCTGCAACCATCCAAAAGTTGCATTCTCCTTGGTTTGCTCTTCTTCATTCATTAATTTAAATTGATTCTTGCTCATGCATGCCATTAATGCCCTTAGTTCGTTGATGCCTTAAGAAATAGGTACTAAAGACACGCTAGACTGCTAAAATTTAATTTATTTTTTTTTTGAATGAGTGTATAAATTTCATTTGTATTTAATTTGGTAAGTTATTATACCATTATTTTCTTAATATATACAGCATTATTAAATTTATTAGGTGCATAGTTTTATATTTTTAATAATAAATGTATCATATATTGATGTATTATTATGTGTGTGCCCCCACATTTATTATGTTATATTATAGCGTATATTAAATTAGAGAATAATCAATGTGATGTGGGTCAAAATTTCACATTTTGTATAGATTTTATGTAAGTTACTTTAAGGTCTATTTGAGGCAGCTTCCATCCATTTTTGTTTATTTAAATGGTAATCATAAATTTGTTTGGTAATTGCTTTCTGGTTTCTTCCTAGAAAATTCTATATTGGGAATTTGTTTTTTTATAGCAACTTAATTTTAAAAAAAATATTTTTCCTTCAACAATTTTTTCATAAAAAATTGCAACCGTTCCAAACACTCTAACTTTTGTTTTAGTTTTTTTAATTAAAATATTTGTGGATGTCGCAGATTAACCCGAGGAAAAGCCTAGCACGGATGAATGCTTGCTGCAACCCGAGCTGCGGTCATAACTGGAGGGATGATGATGAAAGCATTGCTTAATGATTGATTGCGGTTTAATAATTATATTTACAAATAATAGAGAATTAAAAAATAAAATAAGATTCGGATGGGCTATCTATCATTTTAATCGTTCCCCATAAGAACTTGATCTAAGGAATTTGTTTTAGTGAGTAACAGGAGACCATTACAATTTGTTTGATTGTTTTGGCATGGTGTGTCAATTTTTATTAAGAAAATATTTCAAGAGATCCTACATATAATCATTTTCAAGAAAATGAAGAAAAAAGTAAAAATAATAATAAAATTACCTCCATTGAAGTCTTCGTGTTCTGTATGATCAAACTAAAATATAATTTTAAACTTTCCATGTATGTTTTATTATTTATTTCATGCGATATGTTATCAGGAATTTTATTACAGGCATTCTATTAAGTAAATTGGTTGATGGGCCAACTTCGGCTTGCCAATTTTAATATTTTTTTGGATTAAATATCACCTCAATACACGGATGTGAATGAGTAGGGATCAAATAATTTCACTAAAGAATCAAACCTGTGCATTCGCTAAAGGGGTACTTGCCCTATGAAAACTCATCCATGTGGGGACAATAGCCTTAGAAGTATTTTTTTAGAGGGGACTGCCCACATTAAGAAGAAGACATTGGAGGAACTCATACACTTGCTTCAGCTAACTTGTCTTCAACAGAAGACCACTCACATAACTACTCAATAAAAATGACTTTATTAAGCCAGTTAGCACCTCACCCAGAAAACTTAGGCTTCATTTGGGACGATTTTCTTATTGCTTCTTAAAACTTTTTAGTATAAAAATAAAAAAGTTTGTACTATACAGTTGTTTTAAGAAAAAGTAAGAAAACTGTCCCAAACAAAACTTTAATTGCCATAAACTCTCCCCAAAAGTACTTGCTGAAGGCATCTTAGGTTTATGTCGGAGATGACATTCATTCAACTTGTAGCAAACATAGTCTTTTTCACTTTTATAAAAGATATATTATGTATTTATTTATTATTTCCTCATAATTACCTTTCCTCTAACATTCCTAGCACTATAAATATGGGGTTGAGAGAGAATTTTAGACTTCATTTCTGTTAGTATTCACATATGGTGAATTGGTCTTTAGTACTATTCCTCTTTTTCAATCCCTCTTCCTATTTTTCATTCAAATGACTAGTTAATCTTGTGAGTAGGATCAAGGCCAGGTGATGTGCATGGGCAAATTTTGATCAAACTATTAGTCTTGTGAGGAGGATCAAGGCCTCATGCCTGGGTAAATTTTGATCGAAAATCTTTTTAGGCATGTGAGTATAGATTGATGCCACTGATCAAAAACTAACATTAGGAAATGCTATGCAACAAAGTTGGGAGAGAATAAGTACATCAAGATCCACAAAATTATAACTCACCAAAAAAATTTAGTGATGGAAGAGAGGATCATAATGTGAATGTAATAAAGATTGGTGCCTACATATTTTTCATATTATGGAGAGATAATTATTGCCAAATTGACACGCAAAGCTTTATGGAGAGATATTAGTTGCGCTCCTCTGTGCGATTTCGAGGCGATCATGATGTGAATGTAATAAAGATTGGTGACAATAATTATATGGAAACAATTAGGAATTAGTTACGATAATAAAGATTGGTGCATACATATTTTTCATAAATTCAAACTTCCATTGTTTAAGAGAGCTGTAGAACCCTAAGTAGCAGAAGACTTGCAATTGAGGATAGAGAAAATATTTGAGAGTATGTAGCATCTACAGAATAAGAAATTAGTACGAGTAATACTTGTATATTAAGGAGAGGCTGAGAGATGGTGGATAGGATAAATGAGGTAGAAGTTTCAAGTTAAAAAGAATGTGGAGATTACCTAGGTATTGCTTATTACTACTTTTAGATATTGGTTTGTACCACCATCAAAACAATATCAAATATAAGAGGCTTCTATAAGATTGGATTAAGGATAAAAAATAGTGATGTAGTAAGAAGCTGAATTTAGTTCCATGGCATGTATGAATAAGTACACTCCTTAGTTGACTAATATAGCAGAAGATAAATGCTACAGTTTTTTGGGAGGGCTGCGAGAAGAACTGAGATATCCTTCGTTATCTTTAAGAATTTAGGAGTCATCAAACCAAGTTGAGCAAACAAGAATAGTAGAAAATATTTTATCTATACCAATATTCATACATGATATTAATAAGAAAAGATTAATAGATGATATGACCCAGAGAGGCAATAGTGAAAAGAGGATTAAATCTTGAGACAACAAGAAAGATTTTGAGTAGAGTGTGTAAAGTATACAAGTGTGCCCGATGTGTTAAGAGACATACTAGACAATATTTCTGATAATTGGACAATAATTTGGATGTGAAATTTGTGGACACTAATTGCTTGATTGCCTGCTACAATGATAGGGAACAAATCTAGATTTTGAAGAGAGTAAATTAGGCAAGCCTATTAATAGAGGTTTGTTGGATCTAAAGCATACAATAAAGGTCCATGAGTAGGACATATGAACGATGAGTTATTAAAGGTTAATGAAAACCTACATAGTTTGTTTGGCTAGCCCTAACACTAGTGTAGCCTAAAGTTTACATTTGATTAAGTAGAACGATAGGGATGCACATGAAGGATTGCTCGTAAAAATTTTAATCTTGTGCACAAAATTTTAAGTGATTAGGATTACATTAAATATTGAAAGATATATGATTGTATTAAAATACATATGTGTTTGATTGAACTGTTATTGATTGAATACAATGAATGATAAGTACTATTTTTATTTTTGTGAATAATATATATTTGAATCATTTTTCTTTTTTTTTTAAATGAATTTATTTATTTTGGAAAATTTTTGTATTGAATTTATTTTCATCAATTTATTTTATTTAGTTTGCCCATGAAAATATTGAGGGTGACCTTTTTCTAGGGTGGATAGATTATAACAACTTTATCATTATAATTTTAAAATAAATGTTTTAATTTTTATCTAAACTAGAGCTTAGCAGTACTAAACTTGTTAGGACTGCAACACTATCCTTGAGAACACAGTGGAACCAAAATAAATATTGTGGTGTTAAAGACTATATTCTACTATAATTATAGATTCAATATGCAACACAACAACAATCAAATGGAGCTATGTGAATCTAGACAGTAAAAATATTTTTAATATAAAATTTCTCCTCCACTTAGCCTCTCTCTTACCCAACCCTTAACCTTGCTATGAAAGGAAATGAGAGGAGAGAGAGAGAGGAGTTTAGAGTTTTTTTTTTCTATTAATTCTCCTATGAGATTTCATCAATACATTGTAGGTAACATGAATCCCACTTTGATTTTTTATGATTTTGACTTTGATAAATTTAATCTCACCTAAATTGATAAAATATATTATCTTCAAATTTACTAGCCTTTTAATGTGTAACTTTTTGAATATGATATATTTGAATTTTATTGATATTTTGATTGTAATATTATTAAATTTTTGAGTAAACTACTAGTTTTTGAATTTTATATATGAATAAAATGCTAATTTAAATTGATTTACAAAGCATAATTATAGGGCAGCAACAGAATCAGCATTCATGTTAAAAAAGATATCTTTAATCTCTTGAGAAAGAGGAGACTTAATAAGGGAGTCATTCTCCTCTTGAGATATAACATTCATAATAAAAGAAGGGTTAACACTAGAGTCAGGAATAAAAGACTTATTAAGGTGCTTATGAAAAAAATTAACAGCCAAGCTAGCAATCTCATCTCTATCCTCAGTAGTAGAACCATCCTCACAGGAAATTTTATGAATATTGTTAATAGAATGTTTCTTATTAACCAAAGGATGGAAATATTTAGTATTATTGTCACCTTCCACTAAATACTTGGCGGCCGCTTTTTGCTTCCAAAAAGTTTCTTCTTGAACCTGAAGCTTAGACAGCTCCATTTAAGCTTCATTAAGAAAACACAGATTAGCCTCATAGGAACCTGACTGACAAAGATCCTCAAGGGAGTTGATTTTTTTTTTCAGCAAGTAAAATATTGTTAAACAAATCTTTAAAAATATTATGGTTCCACCAATTCAAAATCATCTTAAGTCTTTTCAACATAAGCCATAATCTTTTCATGCCAGAAATAGAATTATTAGGATAAAGAGGAGCATCCTTATTCACTGAACAACCTCCAAAAAGAAACATGATGAAGCCACATATTCTGAAATCTAAATTGAGATGGAAAACTCTTAGGATTGTTCTTAATGTTAGTAAGCAAAGGGGAATGATCCGAAAGAGTATGACTAAGATGTTCAACCTTGGTCAAATTAAAAGTGCTCAAGAAGGAATTATTAAACAAAACCCTATCAAATCTCTGCCACAAATGCCCACAATGCCACATAAACTTGTTACCAGAGAACCCAATGTCAATGAGACTACAAGCCATAATCATATCATTAAATTCCTCCATAGATTGATATATAGGAATAGACCCCCCTAAACGTTCATTAGGATTAGTAATCGTGTTGAAGTCACCCCCAACAAGCTAAGGAAGATTACAAATATTATTAAAATGCATGATTTGCTCCCACAAAGCCCTTCTATTATAACGAGAGGAAGCAGCATAAACAGAGGACGCACAATATGGCATATTAGAACTTTCAATATTACAATGTAAAACTCTAGTATACTCACCAATAAAATCAATTCTAACAAAATCTTTCCAAAAAATCCAAATTTTACTAGCAATATTAGACTTAGCATTATTAAAACCCAAAGACCTAGCAGTTCTAGATAATTTATCTACAGAAATAAGAGGTTCAAGTAAAATAAGAATAGCAATGTTATGAATGCGACATAAGTTTATAACCCTAAGTTTAGAAGAGGGGCAGCCAATACTCTGAACATTTCAAATAATGACGTTAAACATAAAAAATAATTAATGAGAAGTATGCGATCGGGTACTTCTAGGGGATTGTAAAATAACACCTCTGGGTTTCCTACCACGTTTAGCACGACCCTTAGAAAAACTAA